ACTATGATATAGAATATGTAGAACCTTGCGTACCAAGTTGCCTAAACAACTGGTAGTGATTGTGGTTTCATAAGATCTTGCCCGCTACATTCACAACCTCGAAGGATAAGAGCCCTTCACCACCCTTCACCAATATCCAATTAGATGTCATGGACAAGATTAAGGCCACATTCACTACCAAGTTGTTTGGAGCAACTTGGTAGCCAAGTTTATCTCCATTTTTCTCTCTCTCTCTCATCTCCTCTCTCTATATATATAATATATATATATATATTATATGTATATTTTTGTAATATATATAATATATTATATATATATATATATATATTATGATATGACTTTTGCTACCGCGGACCAAAATTATGGACAATAAAAGGAGACAGTGAATGTCCTTTCTTATTGGAGAATTAGTTAGGCCATCATTAAGGGATGGCAAGTCAATTATCCAATAGGAATGGGACACCTCACTTGTCCCTTTATTGGCCCATATTTTGGTAGCCTGGAGGAACTTTTTCTATATATATCTATAGAGGAATATGGGTATGCTTGGTACCAGCATAAATTCGTGCTGCGTAGTGATATGGACTATTACCTCCCTCATTCAAATGGGGGGACCACTTCACGAATGCGTTACTGTGGTCCCCGAATTGAGAGAGTGGATGAGCATGAAACACTTCACTACGCAAGCAACAAAATTTGTGCTTCGTACCGCAGCATACGCCATTTTCTATTAATTATTTATAATATATATAATATATATAGTATATATATTATAATATATAATATATATAATATATATATATCTATATATTATATATATATAATATATTCAATGTAAAATTTTTATTTTATCTTAATAGAAAAAGTAATTGAGTTAAAATGAAGAGAAGTTATGCATGCAATGCATACATATACATTTAATAGAATTACTATTATTGTTAAAACTTTTATAGTACCTATGCTGGTCTCGTTTAATAAAAGAGTAATAAATATCTAGATCCACATATTTTTTCAGAACTTTGATGTTAGACTTGAGATGCTTATTAAGAAATCGAAAGGTCAAAAGCTTAAATTCAAGAGGTCTAATTAGAACTAAATTAAAATGTGCTAATTAGGTAGGAGACATTGAAAGGGAAAATTAATATTTAGGCTCCTTCTAGAAATGTGTCGCGTACAATCAAGGTCTTAATTTAGTAGTATTTATATAGATATATAGATTGAAGCTTAGTGGTCAAATGTCTAAAATTATGCGAATTAGCAAAAGAATTAGATGATGAATATGTAATAAATAATGCAATATAATTAGTTTTAACCCTCGCAATGCATGGATTTATTCATTTATTATTTTCAAAATACTAAAAAATCATAAATTTTGAAATGGTATATAAAAAAATTGAATTATTATACTTGAGTCAGTATAAACTTTTATTATACTTGTACTATCCATAGCATGAATAATTCCCACAAATTTGAATGACTTAGATTCAAGGGAAAGAAATTCACACCTCTAATTGCTCTGTTTTTGCAAAATTATTCCAGAAGAACATAAAAAAATTATTTTTTGTTGAAAAAAAAATTGTCTACATTAGTCATTGAGGTAAAGAGTCAAAACAGAACCACATGGAGCAAAAGATCAAAAGCAAAGACAATAAGTGTCCTAATAATTTCTCATAATTACTACTGTTCATTTATCCTCATGAAGTCAAAGCATCATGCATAGGGGAAAAACAAAGTAATTAGAGGGGATTTAATTAGAGAGGAATGTTTTTAAACTATGATTTAACGAGTTAATTACACATTGAATGGAGAATTGATATTTCCATAACAACTCTTATAATGCAAAAGAAAAAAACAGAAAATAGAAATAATTGTCCAATCTAGAGTATATATTGATGATGGATTATATTGGGATATGAATGGGCAAATCTCTAAAATTTGACATGTGACAAATTCTCTAAAATTTTGACATGTGTCATCTTAGGTAATGATATATATATATGAGAAAAATGGGTATGTTTGGTACCAAGCATAAAATTTGTGCTTGGTAGTGATGTGTCTCATTTCTATCCACTCATTCAAATGGTGGCATATCCCCATACACTCTCCCAACCCATGTGAATGTGATCCTCTCATTTTAATGAGTGGAGGAGAATATGACACATCACTACCAACCATAAAATTTGTGCTTGGTGTCAAGCATACGCATATATATGTGTTGGGAATTTACCAACTTTAAAGGTTATACAATGTAGATAAAATCCAAATAAAATAAATAATTAATCTGAAATAAATAATATAAGTTAGAAAATATTAGGCCTGACCGGGAGCAGTTGTGTAATCATTGCCCTAGAAGATTGGGGATCTGTCTATCGCCCTGGCGCAATTGATCCTCTCCTCCCTAGCGGTAAAAGCCCCCGGAAACGGCCGATCTCTCAACTCGGATGAGAGTGCAGAGTTTCAGCTCAGACGAAGAACGGTTGCCCCAAAATAACACCAAAGATAATAAGAAAAAAATCACTTTTGAAAGCAGAGGAGAGAAGAGAAGAAGAGAGAATTGTTGCTTTTTTCTTATATCTTTTGAGCTTAACATACGGCTGTTTATATAGGGGTTGAAAAGAGCCGTTACAAAACCCGCAATTAATACGGTAACGTTCGTCATAAATTTTCGTAATACTCATTTTTAATTGCTAATTAAAATATGTTTTGATTATAAAATTTATTACTATTCATAAAGGTAAAATTATCTTTTCTCAGACAAAATATCCAACGTAACGGATCAGAAAAAACAATTAGGGAATGATGTGATTTTAGGCCGCGTCCTTAGGTAGGAATCTAAGGTGTCACCTTAAAATCACTTTAATTTATATACTATATATAAAATATATATATATATTATAATAATATATAGTAAATATAAGAAGTAGGTAGGGGGTACCTATATATATATATATATAATATATCACATATACTAATGAGGAATTGATGGGTATAGCTCGGCACCCAAGGATGCCTTGGGTAGTGGTCGGACACATTCTTGTCATACATCAAGCTTGAATGTTGGTGAGGCGTCCATCTCTCCCAAGGTGTCGATGTATGCGACAAAGATGTGTCACATCAGCTACCTGTAGATCGTGGTACGCAAGATATGCTCCGCATTTTTCTCGTCTCTCTCTCTCTCCTCTATATATTATTATGATAATATATATAGTATGATAGATAATAACGTATATACGTATAGTACATAAAATATATATATATATATATACTAATATATATGACATATATATATATATATATATATATATATATAAGGCTGATCGAAGTGTTAAAAAAAGTTAAATTACATATATGAGTGAGATTTGTCCTCTTGTGCCTAAATAGAGGTTGCAGTCAACATCGTCAACTGTAATTCATTTCTTATTTTCCAACTTCCAGTAATTTCAGTTATAAATATCTTTGCTTATCAACTAATAAAATAAAGTACTTCTTCTTGATAATTTCAGCACCTATTCTTGGTGAAAGGACACACTCACGTGGAAAATGACTTTAATTTATGAATTAAGAAATAATATTTATTAAGAAATGGGCGAAGATTCATCAGTTAGCTTCTCTGGCTCATTAAAATCTTAATTTAATTTAGGAAACAAGGAGTAATTATATTAAATAAAAGAGTGCATTTATCAGTATCTCTGCTAAAAGAGGAAATATTTAAAGATGAGGAGCCGCACTGGTAACTGTGCTTGTCCTCTCCAGTCGCAATCCGTTACGACAATTCTATAGAGTTTTTTCATTTTGATCCTTTACAAACTGTTTTGTTCAGATTGTGTCCTAATTTTTTTTTAATTTTAATTACTTTTTATTGAATAAAATAGGGTTGAAGATCAATTCCCAATAACTAATACTTGATGTCTTATTGTTACACAATTAATATTCTAAAAGATATAGAGCATTTTGATATATTACCACTCTTTAATATCAATAAGTATATTTACTTTCTTTCAAACATTTTCTTTCGATCAAAGTTGAATAGGTTAAACATTCTATGACATTATCGCATATATACTATAAAGGTCTAATAAGTTTCTTAATGAAATAATTAACTTTGTAGAGTTTAGATTTGGGAGGTACCCAACAGACTCAAGATATAAGAGTTGTCGAAAAAAATCACCCAACATATATAAATTGGTTAGAAGGGTCTGTTTGGCTCTTTTCATGTAATTCATGTTATTACTGTAGTGATACGAAATCGAGTTGTCTACCTCAGACTGACGGTTACAGTAAAATACTCCTAAAACATCTCCTCTTGCTGGGAATTAACAATAGGCTGCCAACCGAGCTTTTATCGTGCAATATCACTTTGCTCAAATAAACACTCTTTTTAGTGTGACACTGTAGTAATCCGATAGCTACAGTACCCCCCCCAAAAAAAAAAAAAAAAAAAAAAAAAAAGCAAACAGCCCCTTGATAAGGCTTGCCCGATCTTATTTCTGTCACCCATCGTACGCAATTTGCAATAACTATTTTTGTAGTGTCTCATTTGCAAAATACCCCAACCACCGATCTCTGTCATTACGGAAACTGGACAAAAGAGAAACACCCCCCGTTTCCAAAGCCCAATAAAGCCTCCCAGTACCAGTACCATAAAGCAAAAGTCCCTCTCAATCCATCACCAAACCCCAAGAAACTTGAAAAAAGT